TGCAACTTAAGGGACAAAAGCAACTTAAGGGAGGAAGGGTTTGTTTGTTGTTGTTGTTTTCCACTCAGCATGTAAGGGTGTTGTCTTAGTTAGGGTTTCTATTGCTGTGAAGAGACACCATGACCACAGCAACTCTTATAAAGGAAAACATTAAACTGGGGCTGGGTTACAGTTCAGGGGTTCAGTCCCTTATCATCATGGCGGGAAGCATGGTAGCGTGCAGCAGACGCGCTGCTGAAGAGGAGCCCAGACTTCCCTCTGGATCCAAAGGCAGCCAAAGGAGCTTGAGCCGCACTGGGCGGAGCTTAAGTATAGAGGACCTCAAAGCCCACCCCGACAATGACGCACTTCCTCCAGCAAGGCCACACCTAGTCCAAAGAGGCCACACCTCCTAACAGTGCTACTCCTTATGGGAGGGCGTAAGAGATCCATTTTCCTTCAATCCGCTACGGTCCCCAGATTTAATTCTAATCAAGAAAACCTGAACACTGTTAAAAAGGCTATTCAGAGTCAGTGTGTGCATTTAACTTCTGACTTTTAACTTCTAGACTCTAGGAAAAGTGTGTGTGGCTTGTGTGGGCAAAGTGACTCCTTTTAACAAAGTTAGATTTTTTTTTTTTAAGGTAACAAAGATAAAAGGCACCAAGCACTGCAATATCTGTGCTATAGTCCAAGGAGATACACATGCTTAACAGGCATGGGACCCTCAGGTCACCTGACGCCCAATGTCAGGGGACCGGTTGGGCAGACCCCTCCCCACCACCACATGACACACCTGAGAACATCCTTATTTCAGCTCCCAGAACCCAAACAAACAAAACCACTGCTAAAGATTTCCAAATAACATATTCACTGCGTATTATAAAACACCTGAGTTTTGTTTTGTTCTGTTTTGGTTGTTGTCACAGTCTTAACCATGTAGCCAGCCCCGGCTGCAGTGTGCAGACCTGCTGGCCTCTAATTCAGAGGTCCTCCAGACTCTGCCTCCTGACTGCTGGGATTAAAGGTGTGTGCCACCGCACTTGGCCCTTAAATACAGTCTTCAAGCAAAGCTATAAAGCCAACGTTTGTAGACACAGCACACCCAGCTGGGTGTCTGCTTTGGCCTCTTCCATACATCTGGACTTTAATAACGAAGTTTCCTACTTCACTAACAGGCTTTGAAAAGCAGTCTGAAGGCTCTTTCTGCAGCCATTAACGTGTCAGTAAAAGCACTTGACAGTATTTTTTGAGGGTAAATCATCAGCGTAATAGTTCTATGAATGAGCATTTTATTAAAGACCTCGGGTTTTTATAGTCCAATTTTTTATTTTACAATTTTTATGATGTTGGCAGGAACCTGGGGCCAAAATGGATGAGTTTCCAGAGTCAGTCCCAAGTAAAGATACTTACATAAGAAAAGGAATTGAAAAAAAAAAAAAAAGGAGAAGAAAAAGAAGAAAGAAAAGGAATTGGGCTTTTTTTTTTTTAATTCCTGTTTCATGTAGTATTACAATATGCTTCCTCACGCACTTTTCAAAAGTTAACATTCGCTAAGAAAATTGCACAGCTGTTTATTACCTTCTTCCACTAACGAATAACCCTGTGGACACACTCCTACGCTGTGCCTGTCAGGCAGTGGACGACCGTAAGAGGCAGAGCACGTGGTGACGTGGGTTCAGGTCCCAGGCCTGCCACACGAGAACTGTGTGGACTTAAATAAATCGCACAGAACGCTGTTGCTGTGACAACAGAGGATATAGGAAATGAGCACGCCTACAGGATACAGCCAGTCTCTAAGCACCATCCCTTGACAAGCAGAACCTAAATACTCCAGGGACTTGAGTGGTTTGGGCTGGGAACCTGAAAACTGCAGCGGGCCCCAGGGTATTGCCTTTGTCCTGAAAACAATTCAGTATTAAAGTGTCACGCTGCAGCGAAACATGCCCATGTGCCTCTTTAGAGGCAAAAGTTCAGAGAATTTGGGATGCCAAGAAAGTAAAGTGACTCTTAGACAACAAAGCCATGAAAATTAACATGTAAGAATGATAAAGAAATTGTTTCTAATAGAATTACAGCAGTTGAAGCACTCGGGCATCCATAGCTTTATTCTGGATTATGGATCCTTCAAGAAAAACAGAGAGCAAAAGAAAGAGGGAGGGAGGGAAGAGGACAGGGAGAGAACTGGCAGGTGGAATTAGAAGTGTGTACATTGTCACTTTGCCCACTCTAAAGTGGTAGTTAATCCAGACAAGGCTTGATGGATGCTAACGTCCTGAAGATTAAAGGTAAGAGAACATTTTATGGTAGACCTCATGCCCACATGCATAAGGCCCTAGGTTCAATTCCCAGTACGACAAGCAAAAAAGAAAGAAACGACCTCATAATTGTTACCCAACATGGAAAAAAAAAAGGTATGATTACACTAAAGAGACCAGAGCCAGGTATAATGGCATACGACTATAATCTCAGCTGGTGGAGGAGGCGTGCTCCGCATTTGAGGTCAATATCTAACAATCAATCTAGCTAGCTAGCTACCTATCTATGTACTTATCTCTCTATCCATCCAGCTCTCCATCTATCTCTCTCCCTCTGTGCCTCCATCGTGTCCCCTCCCCTCCCTCTGCCAAATGAGGCACATGGAAAAGGTGACATTTACAAGCCAGGAAGAGGACCTCAGCAGCCGTGCCAGCACCTGACCTTGTACTCCCAGGTGACTATTGTTTAAGCTGTCTACTCTGGGATTTTTAATTTCTTCTATTTTGGTGCTACTGAGGATCAAACCCCAGGCCTTTCACATGCTAGGCTCGCAGGCCCTCAGTGTGCAGGACCCCCAGACAAGCCTGCACCATTTTGCTGTGGCAGCACAAGCTGTCCCAGACAGGGTGCTGATGACAACTGATGTCCTCTGCTTTTCCCCAGTGCTGAAGTACAGGGCCACGGGGGTAGGGATAGGGGATGGGACAGCCAACAGCAAGAGGATAGGCTCGTGCAGAAAACTAAAAATAATTGGAAATTATCATCGTTCCTATGGACCACTGTCAGGCCCAGTGATGTCACTGTGGATGAGGAAGGCGTGGGGAAGATGCCTTCTTCTCACACCAACTCCACATTCATTCAGTGGAAGACAGGCCTTCTTCCGTCACGGAGCTTCTCTGGGACACCCAGCCACTACCTAAGTAGAAGGTTCCAGTCTGTGACTAGAGCCACAGCCTTTTCCCTAGCTGGCTGCACCATCTAACTTTAGCTTTTGGAAGAGAATGGTTATTATTAATCCAATAATGAGTTTCTTTGTCAAACAATTTAACATATAATTAAAGGTTTATACAATGTCAACCATATGGTGTTTATCCTCATACTCAAACATGTTCTAATTACTTGGAAAGATCAGCCTATTCATTGTATAAATAAAAGTTTATAAGGAAGAGTCGTTTCCTTCGGCTGACACCTCTCAGAATTACCACATCCACACACTTGGATCCCTCAGGTCTGCTAGGATTTTGTTTTATGTGACAGATGACATATGATAAATCACATAGGCTTCCTGTGGTTGCAAGACGTGCCTCCATAGGCTCGCACATCTGAACGCTTGGTCCCCAGCTGGTGCGTGGCGAGGTTGTGAACCTCCAGGAGGCACGTCCTCCTGAAGGAAGGAAGTCCCTGGGGTGAGATTTCAGGTTTCACAGCTGACCCTCAGTGTTTCTCAGTTCTCTCTGCTTCCTGTGTGGGTGAAATGCGATCAGTCTTCTTTCTGACCTCTTACTCCTGCCATCACGCTTTCTCTCTTTCATTGTGGACTGCATCCCACCTGGTACTATAAGCCAAAATAAGCCCTTTCTCCCCAGAATTACTTTTTGTTAGGGTATTCTACATAGCAGCAGAAAGGCAACTAATAAATTCTTCAAAATGGCTCTATTGATAAGTCATTTTATTAAAAATAAACATATGTGTAATACATAGAAGGCATATTCATATGTGTGTGTGTGTGTGTGTGTGTGTGTGTGTATAATAGTTCCAGAAGGATCTATATTTTTAAAATGTGTTTTTTTAAAAAAGCAAGGATTGCTCAGATTGCTTCTACATAAACATGAGGATTTACATTTGGATTCCAACATCTGTGCAAAAAGCCAAACGGGAATGGAAGAGTGGGAGAGAGAGAAAGAAGAAGGGGAAGAGAAAAGAATGAGGAGAGAGGGAGATAGAGACAGAAGACAGAGAGAGAATACCACTATAATCCCAGAGGTAAAGACAGGGCTCTGAAAGCCTTCTGGCCACACAGTTTGGCTAGTGAGTGAGATCCTGGATCAGTGGAAAATCTTGTCTCAAAAAATGAGGTGGAGAGGAATAAAAAACAAAACAACAACAACAAAACCCCACCCATTGTCAAGCTCTGACCTTCACCTATGAACATGTACACACACACACACACATACTCACACATGCACTCGCACACATAATTAAATAAAAAAAAGAAATTATTAGAAGTTTTTCCAGAGGAGAAGTGGGTAGCTAGGAAGACGAAGGAGCAGGAGAAATCGTCATTTAATATTTTTTGTACAACTAGAATTTTTTTATCTTTTAAACTTTATTATCTATTTATTCAAAATCTAATAGCTGAATATGAAAAATATTCTTATTAGCTAATTAAAGTAAGCCGTCCTATCTACAAAACCTTTAAAGTTTTTTGTATTTCTCTTTTGCAAGTAGAAATATAACTCTAGCCAGATGGTGGTGGTACACGCCTTTAATCCCAGGCAGAGGCAAGTTTATGAGTTTGAGGCCAGCCTGGTCTAGAGTGAGTTCCAGGACAGCCAGGCTGCACAGAGAAACCATGTTTCTAAAAACAAAACAGCAACAACAAAAAGAAATATATATAATTATGTATAAAAGTGTAAGTCAAGTGCCCCGCCCCTTCCACTGAAGGCAGCCTTTGAAACTGCAGCCCATAATCCCAGAGGGCTCACGGACATCTGCCCTTCCATTTTTGTGAACATGGCGCAGAGAAACCCTCACACTCGTACCTGATTCAGCTGGTCTCTCTCCTTGGCCAAGGAGGCAGCTCTTTCCTGCTCTCTGCTGACTTCGGCCGCCAGCCTCACGATGGTTTCTCTGTTAGCTTTTGCCTCCATCTCATGGACATTTATTGTCTCTTCAAGAGTAATGACTTGTGCTTTCAAAGACGTGTTTTCCTCGCACAGCTCTCTAAGCTGAAGAGAAAGAAATTACAGCTGTGCTAAAAAGAAAAAAAAATAGACAGTTCTGTCCACTTTCTCCAAGCAATTCACAGTCTATAGCCTGATGAGGTTGTAATCTTACTAAACAATAAAAACAACAGATAAAACAACCGCATTTTCAAAGGCAGCCTCGAAAGGCCATTATTTGCAGATCTGGCATCAGATTAAAATTATTCAAAGGAGGCCACAAGGCAAGGATGGTGAAAAGTGCAGAAACTATGTGAGCGCTGACTCAGTGTACTAGAGATGCGATGGCACGCTGAGGGCAGAGGCCACTGACCGAGAGAGCTGTCCTCAGCCCACAGCCAACTGTATCTACTGTGTGCAAGGTACTGACATGGGGGCCACTGCAGAGATAACAGAACACTTGCTTTTAGAATATCTTTCTAAAAGTAATTGCAAGCATGCTACAGAGCACGATAAAAATGGTTTTCACGGACGTTAGCATTCAGAGACTTTTGCTTTCCATGATGTGTACTGGAAAATGTTCACAGAAAGAATGTGCAAAACTTACAGACCATATAGCTAAGCCCACTTCACAGGGCCACGCCAGTGCCTGTAACAGGACTTGAACCCCCAGACAGCATGGTCAGCATCTGTGTTTTGACTACCTCTGGAAGTGGGGCATCTCTTGGGCCCTGTGCTTGGTACCATTTCACAACTCGAGTCTGTTCCTTGATGTTGAACACTTCCTCACATCCCCACACTCACATCCCAGATCCCCCTAAGTCCCTTCCTCTAGGATAGACCCCTTTCATCGGTCTTTCTAAACCAGCTCCCATACCTCTGGCATCCCTCGTTCCCTGTCCTTGCATGACAAAGGGGTTTTCTTCATAGAACCTTTTACCACATAGGATGACATTACAGTTATCATCTCTGTACCGTTTTGACCCCATAACCATGAAGGCTCCCAAGGGTGTAGAATTAGTCTTATATCCTACATTGCCACCACTCCAGAACAACGCCCAGCATGTAACATATCATTAAATATTGGTGAGATGGATGCATGAGTATCCAAGAAAATATCAAGAATGCTTCCGGACTAGGTATAGTGACACATGTCTTAAATCCAAGAACTCAAGAGGCAGAAACAGGGACGTCTCTTTGAGGTTCAAGGCCATCTTGTCTATACAGAGTGCTCCAGGCCAGCCAGGGTGACATAGTGAGACCCTATAAGGAACGTGGGAAAGACTGGAGAAATGAATCAGTAGTTAAGTACATTCAGACCTTCCAGAGGACCCAAGCTCATTTCCCAGAGCCCACATCAAGCAGTTCACAGCTGCCTGTAACTCCAGCTCCAGGGTATCTGACAGCTTCTTCTGGCCTCTGAGGACATGTGTGCAAGCCCCACGAACAGACACGCCCACACATACGCATAACTAAAACTAAACTTTTTAAAGAAGTCTCGCTTTTGGAGGAAAGAGTGTAGAAGCCAGAGGGGTCAAGGATACAAAACAAAACAAAACCTACAGAATCAACTAACTTGGGCCCATACAGGCTCGTAGAGACTGAACTGCCAACCAGGGAGCCTGCACGGGACTGACCTAAGCTTTTTGCACGTGTCACGGGTGTGTAGCTTGGTCTTCAAGTGGGACACCTAACAGTGGAAGCAGGGGCTGTCTCTGACTCTGTTGCCTGCCTTCGGATCCCTTTCCTCCCACTGGGCTACCTCAAGAGGAGAGGAGGTGCCTTGTCTTACTGAAGCTTGATATGCCAGGGTTGGTTCATATCCACTGGAGACCTGCCCTTTTCTGGGGAGAAATGGAGGAGAAGTGGATGGGGTGGGAAGCATGGACTGGGAGGAGAGGAGGGAGGGAAAACTGTGGCTGGAAGATAAAGTAAATTAATTAACTTTTAGAAATACTCCCCCCCACTTTTTTTTAAATCATGTGCATACACAAGCATGTGAAAGTAAATGAAGGGTTTTGCTGTTCTGGATTTTCTTCCACTTCTCATGAACACTTAAAAGGAACAAGATTTCCCGTCTGACAGTGATAGTTTTAAGGAAGAGTTATCAGTTATCAGTTCTCTATGGTTTAAAACACAGGTCAGGTCCCTCACTTTCGCAGTTGGTAAGGCCTATAGATCCAAAGGGAAACGCTACTGAAAAGACAGCGAAGGGCTAGAGAGATGGATCCGTGGCTTAGGGTGTGGACCTATCTTACAGGGGTGTCAGACAGCTCACAACCACCCGTGACTCCATCTCAAAGGCCTCCAGGACACCTATACTCACAAGCATATGTGTGTGCACACACATAGGCATGTACACACACAAGGACACACAAGGACAACAAGAATAAAATAAATGTTTTGAGAAAGAAAAAAATGACTCATTATATATGTCTTTGCTGCAAGGGTCATTTGGAGCCTCCCTAGGGCCACTGAGAAGGAGGAGAAAGCAAGGAAATAAGGACACGTGACTTCCTTATGACTTCTGTGGGACACAAAGGACAAGATAGAGTGACCCAGACTGGGACTGGCTGGAATGAATACTCGCATTGCCTTGGAAAGGCAGGTGGGGTGTGTTCAGCTCTGGGAGCAGCACAGCAGCAGGACTGTGGCCCAGAGTGGAAGATCCAGGAGGTGGCAGAGGAGCGGGCTCTGCCTCTCTCTGCATGTAAGAGTGGCCATACCATCTGCACAAGCTGGTTTAACTTTGGAACAGATGGCTTTCCTGGTAGATAGGGGCCAGAGCACCGGGAATAGAGAAAATCAAAGGGCGTGACTACCACGGGTCCCCCTGACATGCACTCGGATTGTCACCAGTGGAGGGAAAGGGCTCCCAAAGGTGGAGTTTCTAGGTTCCCTTTTGCTCTGCCTACCACTTGGCTTGAGACACATCTGAGTCGCCAAACCACATCGAAAAGTGGAGTTGTGCAAGCAAGCTCCTGTCCTGTTAACTAGGAGGGCTGAGCAGGAACAGTCATTACCCACGAGGGTACCTGGCACTCTGGTCCTCACTCCACACAGTGGACTCTTGCCAAACCAAAGTGAATGATCTTGCAGAGATGGTGTTGTTAGGACCTGACCAGTGGGTAACTCAGTGGTGGCTTTTAAGAATGGCTGTGTGACTATTCTATATTGTATGTCTGTTATCCACCTGTAAGTGAGTATATACCATGTGTGTCTTTCTGCTTCAGGATACCTCACTCAGGATGATCTTTTCTAGTTCCCACCATTTGCCTGGAAATTTCATGATTTCCTTGTTTTTAATTGCTGAGTAGTATTCCATTGTGTAAAAGTACCACAATTTCTGTATCCATTCCTCTGTTAATGGACATCTGGGTTGTTTCCAGCTTCTGGCTATTACAAATAAAGCTGCTACAAACATGGTTGAGCAATTGTCCTTGTTGTATACTTGAGCATATTTTGGATATATGCCTAGGAGTGGTATTGCTGGATCTTGAGGAAGCACTATTCCTAATTGTCTGAGAAAGCGCCAGATTGATTTCCAAAGTGGTTGTACAAGTTTATATTTCCACCAGCAATGGAGGACGGTTCCCCTTCCTCCACATCTTCTCCAGCATGTGTTGTCACTGGAGTTTTTGATTGTAGCCATTCTGATGGGTGTAAGGTGAAATCTCAGGGTTGTTTTCATTTGCATTTCCCTGATGACTAAGGAAGTTGAGCATTTCTTTAAGTGTTTCTCTGCTATTCAATATTCCTTTACAGATAATGCTCTATTTAGCTTTGTAAATCTGTACACCTAAAGAGGCTAATCAAGAAGGGGGACCCTGGGTAAGATGATCAATCCTCATTCAGAAAGGTAAATGGGATGGACATAAAAAGAGAGAAAAAACAGGGAACAGGACAGGAGCCTACGACAGAGGGTCTCTGAAAGACTCTACCCAGTAGTGTATGAAAGCAGAGGCTGAGACTCATAACCAAACTTTGGGCAAAGTGCAGGGAATCTTATGAAAGAAGGGGAAGATAGAAAGACCTGGAGGGGACAGGAGCTCCACAAGGAGAGCAACAGAACCAAAAAATCTGGACACAGGGGTCTTTTCTGAGACTGACATTTCAATCATTCATGGAGATAACCGAGACCCCTTGCTTAGATGTAGCCCATGGCAGCTCAGTCTCTAAGTGTGTTCCCTAGTAAGGGGAACAGGGACTGTCTCTGACATGAACTCAGTGGCTGGCTCCTTGATCACCTCCCCCTGAAGGGGGAGACAGACTTACCAGGCCACAAAGGAAGACATTGCAGCCAGTCCTGATGAGACCTGATGGGCTAGGGTCAGAGAGAAGGGTCAGAGGACCTCCCCTTTAGTGGACTGGGGAGGGGAATGGAGAAGAAGAAGGAGGAGCCAAGTAGCATTGGAATCATCAATTTCTGCCTTTAATAGCAATCTGCCAGTGGGACTTCATTGGTCCTGATGTGGGACTTAAGAGTATGCTACAACTAAGCCCAGCTTTTTACTCACTAAGTATTCCCAAATGACACATTTTTTTGGCAGAGTTGGGAGGAGTATTTTTTTAAGTACACTACAAGGGGGCAGTATCCTGGACAGGAATGAAAGTGCATCCCATAGCCTTCATCTCCACTTCATGTCACATGTGTCCTCCAGCGCTGATCTCATCTTAGGAGGACACAAGGTGTGATGGCAGCATGGGGGGGGGGGATAGAAAGGATGAGGATAATCAACAAAAACATTTTATTAAAAAATGCATAATGGAATCTAATGCTGTGTATGTGAACTTTAAACTGTTAGTGAAAATCAAAAGATTAATGGTTTATATATCTTTGTGTATGTGTTTGTAATAAAAAAGTTCATGCACAAACACATCATTGAGATGAACAATTAATCGTGTTTGAATTCCTGAATGTATTTTAGACAACATAATCCCTGTTAGGCACTAACTGATCTTAAGTAATGCTAGTGAAGAGCCTAGAATTGAAGCTCATAGAGGTGCTGTGGTCTATCCTGGTCTACATCAATAATTTATGCTAGCTTCGGGCCACTGTGCTGGTCTCCTGCCACCCCTAGACTCAACCACAGCACTTCCCATCACACGCCAGGATGACCCCGTGTTTGCAGTGCCCCAGACCTGCTTTCACACACCTTTAAAATCAAATCTTTATCCGATGTTTCCTCAGGCTTCACGTCTAGACTCAAGGAATCACAAAGCTGAGTCCAAATTTTCTCGTGTTTCCGGAGATTCTCCAAGCCTTGTTTCTTAGACTCCTCATTTTCCTTTGAACAGTTTCTACCAGCCAAATAACAGATAAATCAAGGTTTAGTGCCATAGCAGGTAACACCATCAAAACAAGTCAGAACCAAAGCTCTCCACGGGGAATAATGATCACTTTCAATACGTCATAGTGTCCCTGTGCAAATGGTTGGCAATGCAGCCCTGCCAGGAAATGAGAGGTGTTGAAGGTGTCTAAACACCTACACTCTTCAGAAGGTAAAAAGTACCTTCGTAGTCTTGGGCCTAGTCACAGGCCTCCTGTTTTAAAAAAAAAAAAGAAAAGAAAACTCATCTGCAGACATAAAGGCAAGCACTTAATTCACACATAGACCCTCTGGAATGTGTGTGGTCACAATCCACAAGCCCCAAGACCTCTACTGGGGCCTCCAAGGGGAGGAGGAGGGCACTGTATGGCTGCCAGAAGGCCAAGTTTCACTATAGATCCTAGTTCATGGCTGAGTATAACTGATACACACACACACACACATAAACACATACATACTACATACATACATGCATACATACATGCATATAAAGATAATGGGGATACTCCACCTGTGGAGAGAAAAACATTCAAGGACCAGCAAAAAGCAATATAAGCAGTCACACACACAGACTCTTCAGCAATGTATGGAAATTGACAAGTCAAGAAGATGTCAGATATTTGGTCTCCAAAAGGTTGGTTGAAATAGCACGGTGCATTTCCAACGCTTTACATGTTCAGAAAGATAGCATCATCAAAAAAGAAAAAAAAACAGACATACTTTTAAGGCCAATTAGAATCATCTCAGTAATTTGGTATAATTCTTCAGTATTCTAGACAATAAGCATGATTATTGCTTTCTTTTTCCCACGTTAAGTGTTTACTGCAAAATTTTTTACTCTATTCAGAGATTAACAAAGCATGTAATTGCATGTACTCAAAAGCATGTCATATTTCCATTTATAAATGACTAGAGTTACTCTGTCTATCTATAGTTTCTGCACATGTGAAAAGCACAATGCATGTCCATGGCTCTGACAGACCTGCCCACGTGACCCCACACATTAACCACAAGACTTCAACGTCACAGCTCTAGGGCAAAGGTCCCTAAGCTATGTCCACAGCTATTTGCTTCCCAACTGACCCAACAAAGTTCCAAAGAAAAAATCAGATAATTGTAAAAATATGAATGTCAGCAGATGTCCTGTTCAGACTACTTCACAGTAAACTCGTTAATGACACTGATCTAAGTGTTTGCAGGATCAGCCAGGGAACTGGGATGAGGAAGTCAGCTTTCTACCATGTATTTGTTTGTAGTCTAGTGCAGGAACACTTGCCTACATGGAGGCACATGCACCAAGCGTGTGCTTGGCGCCATGGATGCCAGATGAGGGCACTGGAGTTACAGACAGACAACTGTGAGCTGCCATTTGGATGCTGGGAACCAAACCTGCTTCCCTGTAAGAGTTAGAAGTGCTCGTAACTGCTGGGCCATCTCTCCAGCTCCCAGTTAAGCTATTTTAGAAATGGAATATAAAACGTTAGTAAGAAGGCATATTGGATGACTCTGTAAAGCAGCAACAATGTATTAGATAGTAAAAGCAGCATGTTACATAGTACTATTTGGGCAAAATCATCTGAAAGCTTATTCAAAAAATGTGTATTATTAAGATTTTCTATAGGCCAGGTGGTGGGAGTGCACGCCTTTAATCCCAGCACAATGCTGGGAGGCAGAGGCAGGCAAATTTCTGTGAGTTCAAAGCCAGCCTGGTCTATGGAGCAAGTTCCAGGACAGCCAAGGCTACCCAGAGAAAGCTTGTCTCAAAAAAACAAAACATATATATGTATGTGTGTGTGTGTGTGTGGTTTTTATAAACAAACATTTTGAAGAACTTTTAATTCCTTCTTGAGGCTTTTCATACTGTGAAGGTGTTTTTACAGTAAGTTTATGACATTTGTATTATGTATTAATCCAGTAGACAATTAATTAACACGACTGTGCACTGGATCCTATCAAGAGTGCAAAAGATACGGAAGTAAACAAAACTGATGAAAACCCTTGCCGTGAAGCAAGAGTACTAGCTGGACAGACAGACTGCTCAGAACAGTGCTCCACATGAAATACACAGCATTGCTGTGTGAAGACTGCAGGAAAGTGATCAAACAGAGAAGGAGTACGTTTTTCTTAGACGTGACGCTCCTGAAAGGACTCCGCAGGTCCTTCTGGCTGACGGCCTCCATCAGACATAGCCATGTGTTGCCACTCACCCTGACAGCAGGATAAGTGAGCAGCTGCAGGGGCCCTGAGGTAGGAAGACGCGGTGGGAACCTCAGGACTCAGCTTCAGGAACATAAACTTTGAAATGTCTGCGGGCCTCTCTATGAGGGTTCCCAGGGTCGTGTGCCTCGTGCTGTGATGGAGATTCAGCTGGGTGCAAAGCTGTGGTCTCACCAGCATTTGGATCATACTTGAAAGGTAGGAGATTGTGTAGCATGGGAACGAACGGGTAGAAAATCAGTGACGGAGGCATGAGACCCCCCCAATATTTGGAAGCCAAGAAGAAAAGACAAAAAGAGAAAAGTAGGAAATAAGCTAGTTGAGTTTAATGTTCTGCTGGAAACCGAGAGAAGAGAGTGGGCCACAGATCAGCTATAACGGAAGCTGTGGAGACCAGCCGGCCCTGGGCCCTTGCAAGTGACCTTTCCAAGCAACTTCAGTGGAGCATATAAAAGAGATAAACTGGAGACGTGGGCTCATAAAAATATTTAAGAACCCCTGCAAGTGGTACCCAGTTTTGTTTTAATAGTGACTGCTTGTCCCAAGTCTGAAAAACCTGAGTTTCATGAGTTCTCTGTATAAAATGCCAGTAAAATCTGATGAGGAGACTTCATAGTATCCTGGCTTCCTCGCGTTTTTCAGACAGCCCCTGAGTACACTTCTGTAGGCTTCCCTGTCACCCCAGACTTGAGCCTCTACATAAGGGAGCTCTCACAACTACACATGCAGTACACTTCCACAGCCACCGCCAAAGGTTCTAAGCCCGCATGAGACAATGCTGTGCCTACTGAAACACTTAATGACACCTGAGCTCAAGCAAAGTCTCCAAGACTGCAGAGACTACAAATAATAATAATAATAATAATAATAATAATAATAATAATAATAATAATGCAAAACAGTCAAAGTTGCCTCAAGACATAGGCTGGATCTGAAGCTGCTACAGCCAGTATCAACCCGGAAAACAATCCCAACTTTCTTACTGTAATTTCTCCTCCAGTTCTAGAACTTTCTTCATGAGTTCCTGGTTCTCCTTCCTCATGGCGTGCACAGAGCTCTCTGCTCTGATCTTAAAAGCAGAAAATGTTGCTGATTCTTCTTGCAGCTCTTGTACTCTGCCCCTCAGAGAGGTGAGGAGAGACGACTTTCTGGCACTATTTTCTTTATAGCTCTCCATCTCGGCCTTCAGCTCCTGACAGCAGACTTCTTTAGAAAGCACCTTAGAGCGGAGTTCTCGAAGCTAATGGGCAGAGAGGTTGGGGGCGGTGGGGATGGTGGGGAAGGAAGCAGAAGGATTTAACATTGTGCCATTAGAAGGACCTTTTTATTCATGACCTAGTCCAGTTTTATTTTCTCTTTCTTGAATTTGGATGTACATTACCAAATTGAAAATTATGCCTGAACAATTTCCTGACTAATAATCATAGTCTTTTTCAAAAATCAGTTGGAGGCTTGGGTAACAGCCTTGTGGAAGAGTAATTGTATAGTGTGTGAGGGACCTTAAATTCAATGCCAGGCACACAGACCCTAAAAAAAAAAAAAAAAAAAAAAAAGAGCAACGCCTTAAGTTGATTTTAGACTTTATCCCACTTGGGAAACATTTGTGGTCGATATTACAAAAAGCAATAAAATATTTTACAGTGGGAACCCATTTACTCTATCAGTAATGCTGCATTTAGTACTCATTTACAATGATTTGGAGACTCTCCAAGTCAGTGTTTGTGATTTCATGGCCACAAATGTTTCTCAAGCAAATCCAGATGTTCAGGATATCACTGTGTTTCTCCCATTTGCCTTCCAGACCATAATTATAGGTGGTAAAGAAAAAAATAATATTCAGATTCCTGGGGGAAATATGGCAGCAAAGGGAAATTATGCAACTTTTGGAGTTCTGTGGGTTTGGTAGCATCGGAATGCTGGAGGATGTTTGCATCCTCCTGACTGGGGATGCTGGGTTTCTTCTGTGTGGCCATCTTCCCACATACATGATTCTTTGGAACTGGGAGTGTGCATGAATGAAGAATCACGCACATGTTACCAGTTCATCCCTCCTTTGGCCCATGGCACCCTCCATGGCACTGCTGGTTACTTCACAGGCCAGTCTAGACCCCTCACAGCCACTGCCCTGAGGGCTGAGTACGTCCAGAGAGGCTCCAGAACTGCACAACGCTACTGGGGCTTGGGATTTGCCCAGCCAATTAGAGATCCTACATGAAGAAAATTCAGAAATCCCTCTTACAAGCTCTGGAACACACGCAATCCATTCTAAGGGGAGACTTTCCAAGGCCCATGCAACTTTAACCCAAAATCCTCAGGTGTCCCAAGGTCACATGGACTGTCTCTGAGATGTAAAGACAGGCATAGCTGGAGGTGAGTAAGCATAAACTGGTCAATGGGTTGAAATCCCTTTCTCACTATCCTGTTTGTAATCCTCCACATCCTGTTTCACTCTATAGAAAGCTAAGAAAAAGATGCACTTCTGAGAGATGAATGTGTACGGCATCTCACCTCAGACTGAGCGCATTCAAATTTGACCAAAGTTGCTGCAAGTTCACTTTGGACATTTTCTGCCACATTCCGGTAGTGGTTCAGCTGTTCCTGGGTAGCTCGGACTTCTGGGGGATGATCGGCTGTCTCCTGGTAGAGTTTCCCCAAAAGACAAAATATTAAAGGGGGTGTTAAACAGTGTGCCATCAGAGGCACACACACACCTACACACACCAGACAATCTCTACCATAGAGTGATAAGGCTTTTAAAAATTGTTCTTAGGAACTGGGCATCATGGTCCTAATCTAATCCTAGAACTCAAGAAGCTGAGGCAGGAGCATCAAGAGTTTGAGGTCAACCTGTACAACACAGCAAAATTCTATATCTTACAAGACAAATAAGCCTTATAATGTTATATGAGAAAAATAAGGAGGCTTGCCTACGCTCGGTGGTAGAGCCCATGCGTGATGCCCTGGATTGGATCTCCAATAAAAGAAAATAAAGAAAGGAGAAAAGGAAGGAAGGAACGAAGGAAGGGGAAAGGTGAGGAAGTCAGGCGTGGTAGCACTTGCAAGTTAGAAACAACTGGGATCAGGAATTCAAAATTAACAATGACCACTTAGCAACTTCAAAGCCAGCCTGGGCTACATGAATCTGTCTCAAAAGGCACAAAACAAAACAACCGAAAGAAAAAGAAGAAAGCAAGCAAGAAAGAATTGGGTTCTGCTAGCTTAGAGATTTTTTTTCCTAGCTGGAAAGATGGCTCAGTGGATAAAGCCATGTAATTGTGAGGACTTGAGTTCAAGTCCCCAGGACCCACATAAATGTCAGAAGCCTGTCTGTCCCCGCCACTCTACAATGAGATGGGTGCCAGCAACAGATGAGCCCCAGACGCCCACAGGCCAGCCAGCCTGAGGTGCACAGCCGCGAACAACAAAGGGATCCCGTCTCAAATAGCTGGAAGGTGAGGACCGACATCCCGGGTTTTCCTGTGACCTCCACAAGAGAACACGGCAGGAGTGAACACACACCGCATTCGCTCATGTACACAAAAAGATCCATTAAAACAGTGTCTTTAAGTTTCCCTCTCACTAACTCAAATACTGCCCAGAAGAAAAAGAGTCAGAGAAGAATCGTGTAAGAGGTTCTTTTTAGCTGGTAAATCCTGTGGACCAGCTTTCACTGTTCTTCCAGATATGGTGGTGACGGGCTGCTCTCAGATCTCATTTCTCCCCAAAGAGGTCATATGACTTGAATGTTAAAGGTTCCCTCCTTCCTCGTGATTCATTTTGCCATTTTTCTCAATATTGCAAACTTCTTATGTCATGAAAGTGACTTAAGTGAATGGATGAGTGAGAGATGGGATGGCCTACACTCCCAAAACCTCTGGGCCCTTCCAGAGTGTAACAGTTTTAGGTTCCACTGATGCGAAAGTAAGGCTCCCTGCCTGGCTGCCTCATCCCAGTTCCCCTTCTGTTTTTGCTTGTTTTTGTTTAGGTTTGGCTTTACTTTGTGTGGTTAAGAGTTCTGCCTGCCATGGATGTCTGTGCCCCACCTGCCCGCACAGGCCAGAACTGGATGTCAGGCCCCTACAACTGGAGTCGCAGATGGTTGTGAGCTGCATGTGGGCACCGGTAACCAAACCCAGGTCCTCCGGAAGAGCAGCGAGCACTCTCAGCCATGAGCTCCTTCTCCAGCCCCTCAGCCCAGTTTTACAACACAAGCCACATATCTTGACTTTTTAAAGTAAAAGTCTCCAAACTTTACAGTTTGACAACTGACTTTAATGTTTAAAAAAAAAAAAAACAGGCATAGGCTAGGTGTGGTGACAGATCATTGTGAGTTTGAGGCCAGCCTGGTTTACACAGTGAGTCCAGGATAGCCAGAGCTACACAGAGAAACCTTGTCTCGAAAAAAAAAAAAAGTTCCTGTCTATAAAGCATTTAACCCATCTGTACACAATTCACTTCTTTTAAATATAAGGCTGTGTAAATTTTGTTTTTAAACTGTACAGTGTCTTTTTTGCTTTTTGTTTGTTTGTTTCTTTCTTTCTTTTTTCTTTAGTTAACACACTGCCAAATGTGTCTTTCTATAGCCCTGTCCTGGTGGTATTTTCAGTGGCCACCGACCTTGCCTGGTACAGTCTGGGGGTTGTAAATTGGCACAGAAATTTAAAGCTGGCTGTTGGTGCACAGCACAAATTAGGTATATATGGGGATGGTAGAGGCTTTTGTTTGTTTTGGTTTTCTTTTCTTTTTTTTTGTTTTTAGTGGGTTTTTTTTTTTTCATCTTCAGTTGTCTGTGATGCATTTACATGCAGATAATTGCTGTTCTGTTAATTGAATCCCACTCTGTAACTGCAAAACAACAACAAAAACTGGGGCTGTTTTGTTGACATCCTGAATGCTTCTAAGTAAATACAATGTTTTATGAAAGAAAGAAAAGAAGGAAGGAAGCAAAAGAAAGAAAAGAAAATGAAAGGAAAGAAAAGAAAAGGAAGAAAAGAAAAGAAAAGAAAAGAAAAGAAAAGAAAAGAAAAGAAAAGAAAAGAAAAGAAAAGAAAAGAAAAGAAAAACATGAGCCAAGAAAACACACTGTGCAGCAGCTTGGCAGGGCAGATCCCAATCTGTCCCTCTGTCCTCTTTCTGCTCCTCATGCCTAGGTGGGCATCCAGTAAGGATGGTTGTTAGTTTGGACATTGTGATGGTTAATAATATTACCTTAATGGTGTGTGTGTGTGTGTGTGTGTGTGTGTGTGTATACAGAAGAGGGTATAAAGATCCTCTGGAGCTACAGATGGTGGCGAGCCCCCTGAGGTAGAAATTAAGAATTGAACTCAGGACCCGCTGGAAGAGCAGTGTATGCTCTTAAACCACTGAGACATGTCTCAGCCCTTCACAGGATTTGACATAACCAGAGAAACAAACCCCGGGAGTGTCTGTGCGGGGTGTCTAGAGGGGGCTGGTTGACAAGCTTAGCTAAAAATCACGTGCTCTGCTTTGTCTGCAAAGATCGCAGGACAAGGAAATGGCTGCGGGTGGCACAGACGGGAACTCGGGTGAGAGCTGGGGGTCCCAGACTTAATGAAAACAAGACGCATCGCTCTCGGCTTCCTGAGTAGGGGTACGATGTGAGCAGCCGCCCCATGCACTTGGCACCGTGCCACCCTGGTCATGATAAACTGTCCCCTCAGACCCCAAGCCAGGGTGAGCTCTGCCCTCCTCACGTTGCTTTTGTCAGGCATTCTACGATAGCAACAGGGAAGTAACTAAAACAGGCATATGTCTATGCCCACCTCTGGGAATTCTCTCGGCCCTGTGGTCTTTGTGAAAGACATGCATGAAAACCACTCCTTTGGGGGGGGGGGGGGGAAAGAGGTCACAGAAGGGAGAAGTTCATGGAATGTTCCAGTGGCCTCAGAGGACACATCAGTAAAACCACCAATGACTGCCAGAGACTCTCAGCCGCCAACCTCTGGTGCTTGATAGGCTCGTGAGGGCCAAAGTCGTCCCACAGCCTTGAACTGGACGACAAGCGTTGCCGTGACCTGTGTGTGGCAGTCCGCAAGATCCCAAACCAGGCCTCCGGGACACTTAGTGACAAAACCAAGGTGGCTACATCCTCCTGAGGAGAGAGTAGGACGGGCTGAAGGGGGGTTCTCAGGGCAGGGTCACATCCTGCCGGCCTCATTCAGGACTCAGAAGGGCCCCACCGACCCAGACCACCGCGGCTGCACTTCCCACACAAGGCCACGAGAGGCGGGAGGTTTCAGCCTTAGTGGACACGGCCCATCACCTAATAAAAATTCCATTAGAAAGGTAAGTTCTCCAAGTGGCTCTGATTTCTTTCAGGAACAGAGCACACTTCGTTTAGGAAGTGCTGTAATTCTCTCATGAAGGCAGTGCTATGATTTTCTCATTGTTTTATATCACCTTCTAATAAAAATGCAATGGGCCCACTGAATATATAATATTAAGAGTCATATGAAGCAGTTCAGAAACAGTCCTTCATCTTAGCAGGTCCTGGTCTAAGGCAGAGCAGTAGCAAAAGCATTAATATCTCCAAGTGTTCGTGAGTGGACAAGAACATATTTTAGTTAAAACAGGGCTATGCATGCAAAGCGTTCTGTATACAGAACTTGTCGAGCATGTGCAAGGCCTTGGTGTCAGTATCCTGTACCCCAGAACAAACAGTCTGACCCAGCAGCTCAACTATCCAGCTATTCCCCCTTGACAACTATCCACACGTGGGCACAGATGACTCATGCATAAAGATAATTATTATTCAGTGATTTATAATAACAACAAAAGAGGGAGGGAGGGGTTATTAAAGCAATGTAAACTCCTGTTCACATGACAATTATTAAACAAAGGCCTTTCCAGCCAGGCCTGGTGGTACATGCCTGTAATCCCAGCACTTCGGGGAGGAAGAGGAGGTGCATCTCTGTGAGTTCAAGGCCAGTCTGGTCTAAAAAGTGAGTCCAGCACACCCACGGCCACACAGAGAAACCCTGTTTTTGTGCCCGCTCTTCAATCAGTTCCCCTGGCGGGACAGCCTAGCCGGGCCAGCCTAGCCGGGCCACAGAGGAAGAGGGTGCAGGCAGTCCTGATGAGACTTGATAGTCTGGGGTCAGATGGGAGGAAGGCTTCCCCTCTCTGATGACTAGGGGAGAGGAGGAAGATGGAGGGAGGGTGGAACCCAGAGGAGATGAGGGAGAGGGTTACAATCAGGATGTAAAGCGAATAAATTATGAAAAATAAAAATAAAATAAAAAATAAAAGCAAAACAAAGGCCTTTCCAACCTGTAGAACCCTACAAAATGGGAAGCAGGAGACATGCCTGTATGGTAGAGCACTATCTTATCTCCAAGAAACATCACAGAACAAAACCAAGAAATTACAGAGCCATAATTTGATGCTGTGTTCATAAACCAAAAGGAAAAGGGAAAATACCACCATATGTATTTCCTATAAAGACGCCTAAGACAAAGCCAAGACAGGTTAACAGAACACATCGACCTGACCATACCACTGACCTCCAGGAGGGCACCAGCACTGAGCACGGGTGAGAGTACAGTGGTTTAGTTTCATATCGTTCGTATAATTAAATCAAAGTTTTAAAATGCTGGAAGTAAATACTATGATTCTTT